AAAAACTTTTTTACATTAAGTACTGCATAAAATACAGTTGGTACAGTAATTATCGGTCAGTAAAGTATTTAGATCAATCTTACGGATATTTATCTTGAAAGATGATAATGTTGGCAGATCTCTAATGTTCTTAGGTACAATATTCCATAACTTAGGTCCAGTATATCTGATAGAGTGCTTACCATATGTTGCTGTATTAAATCTAGGAATAACAAATTCTTTGCTACGTAGGGCATATTTCGTATCAGACCTCCGAAATAGGTCAGCAATATACTTAGGACATATATTATTCTTGACCTTGTACATGAGAGTAGCCATGTCCTGTAACCTTCTGTTATGTAAAGTACATAGATTAGCCATACCCAATAGTGTGTTATAACTTGACGTTTTGTCGCAATAGATGGCTCTAAGTGCCCTTTCCTAATCAACGGGAATTCACGAAATCCTAATACATAAAAATACCTCGAGATTTAAATCGATCATAAGATTAACAAAGTGGGCGTTCCTTGCTTAGCGTCTCATTCCTTGATTCATCCCCTCTAGATTGAAAACAATCAATTGTACTATTGTACGACTCTGTACGTTAGCGTGCTTCCACCCAAAACAAGAAAGCTAATCAAAAGAGGAAACTAGCAAAATTACTCACATATCGGTCCCGCTTGTGCCAAAGCTTAGGACCAGAAACGGCGAGTCGAACAGATAGAATGGGCAAAGTGAAATACAATCATGCACTGGCTAAAGGGACGCTAAACGAAGCTTTTATACGCGCGTGGGGACGCTAAAATATCTGATTACAAACCAATAGAAAATAGACAACAACGTAACCACATCCGTAACTAAAGTAATTTGTAATCAAATTCCACTTAGGCTGAATGAATCGTTTGAGTATCCTTAACAATCTCTTTTGAAAACTCCAAGGGAGTCAAAGTTTGAAAATGATACAGTGTGGTTTTGCATAAAATGAGAAAAACGTCCTTAGATCTCTTTTGAAAACTCCAAGGGAGTCAAAGTTTGAAAATGATACAGTGTGGTTTTGCATAAAATGAGAAAAACGTCCTTAGATCTCTTTTGAAAACTCCAAGGGAGTCAAAGTTTGAAAATGATACAGTGTGGTTTTGCATAATTTGTGTGCACATTGTATCTGTTTGGGGAGGGGGTGTTCCAGGTCAATCCTATGTGTTCTTGTTTTACAATGATTTTTCGTTACAAAGTTTGTTTCTTAGGTTTGAGAAGATTTAGAAGTCACTTTCTTGCCTCAATGAGTACTTTGCTAATTAAGAAAGAATGCCAGAGGTACTTCATAGAAGGTACTCACATGTAAACTTGAGCTCTTCAGTTTGTTTATGGGCACAGTCTTACTGTAAATGTGTTACTCAGCTACCACTCAAAAGAAGTGTCAGAAAGTGGACTCTCGAGGCTGTGCAACGTTGGCATGTATTGGGACTGGTACTCTGGTGGAATGAATACTCGGCTGATCTTAATTTTTGGATTGTATTTTCGAGCCTTGTCATAGAAAGCAGTGATCTTTGCCACTGTTGATTTTTTAATCAAGTACAGCTGAGAATGAATGTAGCCAAGCTGGCGATACTGCATTGCTTGATGATGTTTGTATTCTTCATTTGTAAGCTGGATTGCCTTGTTGACGTAGTCCTCTGCTTCTTTTAGGTAGGGTATAAGATCCTTACGATGTCTGTCTGCTTGTCTATCACGATGTTTTTCGTGTTGTTTATTATGGCATTTATCGGTTTGATTTATCGTGTTAATATATAAATCAAATTTGCAACACGCAAACTGAAATGCTACGTAAGAATTTGTTTGAGTTACATCGCCCATTGCCTCAAACAGCTTGTGGGCATTTTGAATGGACTCCAATACTGATCTACCATCTTCACTTCGCTCTTGACATAAAGAAACTGCTTTAGAAATAGCAGAGGCCCTCACTCATCACTCAGTTTGTCTCCAGAAGCTATTTTGTTTATTTTCATTGCACAGAGAACTCTGCAAAATCTTAAATATTTGAAAGAGATTCTCTCTCTATGGAACATCTTGCCACAGGTCTCTCAGTACATTGTTGATTTTATATCTTCTCTGGGTCTGTTTACACAATTACTTTTTGATCATTTGTTTTATGCAATAGATACGTAGGAAGTGAAACACTGGATGAATTGTCAGTAAAATCCTGCTTGAAAGCTAAAGGATATCTTTGTTGTGATTTAATTTTCAGACACCTTTTGACAATCTTCAGCACTGAAATTCACAGATTTAAGATTGACCCATTTTAAAATTAATTTATGCAGTAAACACCCGCATATAAGAACACATGGATTAAGAATATCTGGCTGAAATTTTGCAAATAAAGCACCATTTTTATAACAACAAAATCAGCCTGGAAATATAAATTGTTCTTATAAAATGGACAAGACATTAACATGCCGTTCATGTTAGATGTATTTTCTTGTTCTGTCCACTAGTTAACTTGTAATAAGGCTGATTTTCTGCATTTTTTTGCATTGTTACAGATCTGAATTCCAACAACATAATTTAAGAACACCTTCAGGCTGATTTTTCACTAAGCACCCGATAAATAAGAACCTGATCAGCCTGGCCTCCAAAATCATGTGTTCCTATATGCGGGTGTTTACTGTAATAAATGGGGCCTGCATGTGAAAATTATTATGTAAAAATTCTGAAAGCAAATGGAAAAAGAAAAAGTCCCCGAAAAAAATATTATTTATAAAAAGTCGTAAATTTTCTATATATATTCTCTACAGGCATGGATGTGTGAAATTTGACAGTGGTGGGCAGAAAATGAGAAAAACGTCCTTAGATCTCTGTGACGCTTGCGACAAACGAGATCGAAACTTCGAGGGGTGTCGCTAAGGCGTGTTAATGCTAAGGATAAACGGGACCATCTTACAGGTCGTTTCGTGCTTCAAGTACCAATAACCACGAAAAATAAGGTTGACGGTTAACGGTGATTTAATGGTGATAAATGATTAACGAACCACGATAGACNATTACCAAATTTTTTTTAACCCAGAGTTCATCGATAAAAACCAATGAGAAAGGTTTTGTTTACAAATGCAAATTAATCTTGCGCGGCTTGTTGTTTCAGTCCTTTCCGCGCGGGAAAATGTTGGAATGTATGAATTAAAATCAATTTTTGGTGGTGTATATTATCTCACTGTTTTAGTATATACTGAAATAACTATTCACCTCAGTGTCGGTGGTTTGCGGTGGATGTTTACCTCGCCGCTTCGCGGCTCGGTAAATATCCACCACTGACCACCTCCACTTCGGTGAATAGTTGTTAATTAACCAAGCGTGAGGTCAAGATAGCTGGATATTGGCCAAGTTTCTTTTTTTGCATTTTTATGGACGAGACTAAGTAGAGATCCATAAAAATGTGAAAAAAGAACGAGACTAATACCAGCCATCTCGACCGAACAAGCTTGGTTAATAAAGGATTTATTATATTGCCAAAAGATCTCGCTTAGCTTATTAAGAATGACTTGTCTACTTCGAGAACCGGGAAAGAAAGCCAACTGTGTTTGTAGCACCATAAACTCACGAGAGTCGTTTCTATTTTCTTTGTTTTGACTATCTTCTGCTGCCTTTTGCGTTTTCATCGCCGACATTGCCCAAGAACTACGAACGTAGTTGTAAATCAATTTTTTTCACACGCGGGATCAATGCGGGCAATCCCGAGCGGGCAAGACGGGCCCATCTTACCCGCACGAGTCGCCAATCAGTACACAAAATTTACGTCACCTTGCCCACGGGCGCTGCAAGAGATGTAATGAAAACTTTTAACAAACCAAAGGACAATTTCATTGCGCATTTGTATCTCTGAGCAATTTGCAGTTTCACTTTTGTGCGTCTCAAGTATTGCACGTGCCTTTTAGTGGTTCAATATTTTGGCGGTTAGATAATGTTCGCGCATTTTCATTGGTGAGTTATCAGAAAAATGTTGTTTAAAATCGCGTGCGAGAGTCTCTGGAACTTACGACTATCATTAAATGTGAGCGATTTCTTACCATAGTCAATTGCTCTCCTGTCATCAAAAGGAATTTTATTTCCTTGGCGCAAAAGCTCCTCGATTTGCACAGGGGTCGCCATCTTGGTCTCTGTTCCTTGCCTCACATAGTAAAGATCCCTTCCTTTCTCGTTTTCTTTGCATGTGTGAGGTTTGTTATCAGAAGCCATGGCCCAGATAACCAGCACATGCTTTCGTATTCCGTCGGGGCACTCAACCATTTCGGGTGAAAGTACAGGATGATAATCTGGTTTTATTTGGGCCCGGCAAGCCCCTAATATCTCCCTCTGTATCCTCTCAAGATCTTTTGCCGAAACACCGACCGGAGGATAATTGACTTGACGATCGTCTGAGTCTTCCCAGGTTTCTTTCTCATCAACACCAATGATAATGTATCCGCCATTGTCATTGAAGAAGTCGTTGGCGTACGCGCAAATTGTATGAACGACTTGCCAGTACGTACCTCGTGGTCCTTGTTTTCCATGCCACGCTTTCTTGAACTCAACTTTTTGTTTCTCGACACCTTGAAGATGCAGAAGATCGTTCACATTTATTAATAAACTTGAAGCGTACCGGGCCATCGTCTGCTGCGGTCTTCTCTGAAAAAGGACAAGGAATTATGCAAATTTCCAGATGTCATTAAGTAAAATAACTCTATTCACAAATTCCCTTGGGGATAGGGCTGTATTGAATTTCGGGTTTTTGTTTCTATCAAGTAGATATGAAATGTGCTGTAAGGGCAAAGAAAATTGGTTCTCATGTAATTGCGATTGGGAGCGCTATGGGTGTTTTCATGGAATTGTCGCGATCGTCTGTTGTGGGTAAAGTGCGCGGTCAAGGTCTAGGCACGACAACAATCGTTTCGGCGCCAGATTCAACACAATGGCAGCTTTCGGAACATCCAACCAACTTTTCTCCCATAATTTTCTAACTGTTGAACCGAATACACTTATTTTTGGAAGCATTCGAAAACGTACTCCATAAACACTCGTATTTTTGGACTCTAACGCTTCTTTCGTGCATAGCATCCTCCAGTATGAACAGAACTCCATGGTGGCACGCAGTACCCAAACCGTTTCTTGATGAAAACAAAGGATATTAGAATGAGAAGTTTAAGAACAAATGAACAAAAAAACATTAAACAAGAGTAAACAAGAAATTTAAATCTTAAGCAAAGTTCATGCAACTCGGATAACATATCGGCAATTGCTTAACCTTCATAGGATTTCGAATTTATAAGGCATTCACCACACTGATGCTTAATAATACAGTCCCCTTATGACATCTTGCACAGACTCTTTCTGTTGGGAAGCTTGTACGAGAGAACTAGCTGTACGTGTTAGAAGCTGCAACTGAACTCGGTGAGTCAGGGCAGGTCACAGACTTTTCTCGTGGATTTTCGGATTATTCTAAGCTAACACATGTTGTTCCAAATCACAGCATTGCGTTACTTGAGTGCACTTTGGAATCTAATTATCATATAAATCAATCTTTATACTTTAGTTGAACATTCTCGGAAGACAGTTTTACCGATCTGCTGTGCACCTGAGTACGTACAATTAAAAACCGAAAGTAAACGAAGTAAACTTGCAAAGAAGTATGGCGATTGATACCATTTCATATGTTGTTAACGTCGCAAGAAACATCTCATTTACTTCATTTTAGCATGGAAAATGACCCGACCGATGCTGAAGGAGAACAATAGTCTCTTCTTCCAAATGAACGAACATATCTGGGCTTCCGGTCACACAGACAGCCGCAAGATGTCAAAGGATGCTACCGATTGTTTTTGAAAATTGTCAAAATCACCTTCTGTTCAGTCGGATTATGGGGTCACCAAGCTTGAAAATACATTCCACGATTACTAGTTAGTCTAATTTGTATTTATCAAGCTGTTTACGATTTCTATGTCGGGTTAGGTTGCCACGGTTTTGATTGCAGTTTCTTACAAATTCAACGGATTCTATGAAGCCCTCCCATTATAGGGATGATCGTCGTGTTGCACGTGCTGTTTACACGATAGTTTGAACTTGAACTTGAACTTTATTTTTATTTAGACACGGTAAATCTATCAGATAAAATAATAATATTATTACAATCTATTATTACAATTACATTCTACTTTAATCTATATAAACATGATCTAAAATTTAAAAGTGAAATAGAAAAAATAAAGAAATTCTGCTTTATGTAGATGCCGTGTGTGTTTTGTCGAATTCAGACGGAGAAATCGCGACAACCATTTCGAAAAGATTGAAGTGATTTTGCTTGCCGCAATTCAGGGGACAAGCTATTCCAGATAACCGCACCGTTATAGCTAAAGCTATTTTTCGGGAAATTGGTGCGGGGCAATGGAACAGCAAGTTTGTTTTCAGAGTTCCTTAGATTATAAGGAGGATCATATTTAGTGAAAAGAGAACCAAGATCGTCGGGCGCAAAACCATGTATAGATTTATAGAACATGGTGGCCACTTGTATTTGTCGCTGAGTATCTAACCTGCTCCAGGTAAGTTGCTCAAAAAGAGGATCAGCGCTTGTGTCATAACTGGAGAAGGTCAGAATACGAGCAGCCCGGTTTTGCAACTTTTGGAGCTTATTCGAAAGACCTTTGTTACAGTGCCCCCAGACCTCGCTGCAGTAATTAAAGTACGGTTGAACTAAGGCATTGAAAACGGACTCAAGCGTGGTTCGGTTAACAAAAGGCCTAGAACGTTTAATTGCTCCAATGCCCGATGAGATTTTCTTGGCTATTTTTTCAATGTGTATATTCCATGAAAGGTTTTCGTCTATATGCGCACCCAGAGATTTAACCGGGCTAACTTGTTTAATTATGTCACCACCTATGATTAGTTTAGGGGAAGTACCGTAAGTACCTATCCTTTGCCGCGATCCAATTAA